AAAGTAGCTTCTCTCTCTGCTTATGAGGAAATGTTTTGTATCTTTTCACTAAGTAAAATTAAAAACCACATGCACCATGTCTCACAAAGTGAGTGCTCTACACGTGAGAAGGTAATCATGGGCAAGGGTCAAGGTGAGTACATCAACACAACGAGTGGAAGTACAGGAAGACCTCCATTGTTGACATGGAAATGCCTTGGGGTGGGTCCATAAGTAAACTCAGTGGGAGCCATCCTAGGGCATCACTGGCTATATGTCAGGTTGTCCAGTGTGATGGGCATGAGCTACTAAAGTGGATCAGCTAGTGAAGTGCTCTGGGAGCAATATGTGATCTTACCACATTGTGTTTGGAGACTTCAGACATCGCCCTGCTGGAGAGTGTATACTTCTCAGAGATGGCTTTGGATTCCTTGATCCCTTTGAACCATTTCCTGTATTGCTCCTGGACCTACAGAAGCAAAGCATGCTCTGAGTCAGCTCACTGAGAGGGGTGAGAGTGGAAAATCCTGGGTGGAAGCCGGAAAATAGTACCTGCTGGCTGAGGAGACAGTACACCAGGAAGATGAAGACGCCCTGCAGGCTGTTGATGATGGTGAAGAGATAGGCCATGGCGTGAGCAGCTGGACCCACCTGCAGGATTCCCAGACACCATGTGCAGCCCAAGATGAAGAGCTGAGCTGTCGCTTTAAATGTCAGCATCCTGGGTAGAAGGAAAAGAGAGGTCCGTGGTGCATCCAGAAGAACAGAATCAAGGTCATTCTTATCTGTACCCCAGGGATGCATGACTGAATTGTGATCAACTTTGATAACTAGTCTCAATGGTCTTCTGAACAGAAATGCTATCAGAGTTTATCATGTCATTTTGACTTTGACTGAAGTACAAACTTCAGTTCTTGAACATCTCACATCTCGAACAATTTGGTCCTCAACCAAGTTGTTAATGGAAAAAATGTCTTGGTTAACTTCAGTTCTCGACCTAATAACCATTTTCATGCTGATACATGATTATGACAAAAAGTGTCTCTCAGGCCACAAACAAAGGAGAAAACATGCCAATTCGAGTCAGTTTACAGCTAAACCGTGCCTTGTTAACATCTCAGGAAATTGTGCTGTGAATATTTTATTTATTTATTTATTATTTATTTATTTATTTACGTTTGTTGCTGGTGAAATGGACGACTAATACACTTTTAAAACATGAAGAGGCCATCAAGAGTGTTGATGTTGGTAAGGGTGTGAAAGTGCTCATGAAACAATAAAGGCAATTGAAGAGGCAGAAAAATTGTTATTGAGTTGGATAAATGAAAAGCAGTTAGCCAGTGACAGCATTTCAGAGGCAGTGATACCTGAAAAAGTGAAGAGGCTGCACACTGACCTCTAGAAAGACCCTTGAACGAGTGCTCAAAGTGATTAGTTTAAGGCTAGCAGGGAGTGGTTCGATGAATTTAAGAAAAGAAGTGTTTGTTCGTAGATTAAACAGTACATTAGACATGTACTGTATACAGGAAAGGTTAAAACGGAACCATTTGGGGGGTCTGGAACAAATTAATTCAGCTTACATTATTTCTAATGGGAAAAAAATGATTTTGTTTTCCAACACCGCTTCTCGAACAGCCTTTCAGAATGAATTAAGTTCAAGAACCAAGGTTCCGCTGTAGTGATAATTCATAATGTTCGTTTCAAAAAGATCATGATGTTTCATGAATGTCCCTAATTTCCTTCAACTGGCATTACTGGGGACGTTCTGTGTACCTGATTCTCTGTGCTGGGTCTTGGGTATTAAAAATAACAAAGATAATTTCTGTTTTCACAAATCTTCTAGTGGAAAGATGAAAACAGTCACATAATATTTATTATGTGTGAGGTACCTTTGCCCAGGTCCGATCCAACACTATTCCTATCTTTTCACTCTCCATGAACTGAGTGTGAGCATGATTTGCCTAGAATAGAGGCCATTCATTCTGTGGTAAATTTAGGAAAGCAAAGGATGCCCCTAGCCCAGCCGTGGGCAAACTACGGCCCATGGCCAGATCCAGCCCGTTTGAAATGAATAAAACTAAAAAAAAAAAAGACCGTACCCTTTTATGTAATGATGTTTACTTTGAATTTATATTAGTTCACACAAACACTCCATCCATGCTTTTGTTCCGGCCCTCCTGTCCAGTTTAAGAACGCATTGTGGCCCTAGAGTCAAAAAGTTTGCCCACCCCTGTTCTAGACCCTGTAAAATATTTGCGTTTTACAGGGTCTAGAAATCTGACTCCACTCTCAGTAATGCTTATTGGTGGGGAGCTTCAGCCCCCGGCTAGTTGACACACTCACTTCTTTAGGTGTAAACGTGTTTCCAGCAGGACAGCTTGGTATGGAATGGAGAGCTGTGCTCACAGACCAACCGTTGCAGGGCCCTGCTTGCTTTTTCTCTTGGTAGAAGAACATTTTTTA